GGTACCTGCAACAAAAACCTGCAGAAAAAACGTGCTCTCGGGAAAATGGGTGTACCGCATCAAGACTAATGCGGACGGCTCCATCAAACGATTCAAGGCTCGCTGGGTCGTACAGGGATTCGATCAGCGATACGGATTCGACTACACAGAGACATTCGCCCCAGTCTCCCGTCACACCTCTTTGCGCATTCTACTCGCCGTCGCGGCCACGAAGAAGCTACCACTACACCAAATTGACGTCGCAAACGCCTTCCTGTACGCACCGGTGGACGCCGAGATCCTCGTCGAGCAGCCCCACGGATTCATCGACGACCCCACAAAAGTGTGCCAGCTGATAAAATCCCTCTACGGGATCAAACAATCCCCACGGCTTTGGCAGCAGCACCTTCACGGCCGCCTCGTCAGGATTGGCTTCCTACAGCTGCCGCACGACCAAGGCATGTATCGACTACAGAAGGAAAGGGGTTTCATCCTACTCATCGTCTACGTCGACGACCTGCTCTACATCGGCTCCACTACCGACATCGCCACCTGGTTCAAAGGGGAGCTGAGAAGTGACTTGACACTCACGGTGTCTAACACCGTGACCCAGTACATGGGTCTGAACGTCGTCGAAGACAACTCGGCGTTCTACCTACACGCTGGAAAGTACGCAGGCGTTGTCGCGAAGAAATTCGGACTAACGCCGACTACAGTCACGACTCACTACCGCTACGGGAACAACAACGACACTTCCGCAAACTCCCCGCGAAGCAAATCCAGGAGTATCGGCAGAAGCTCGGCTGCCTACTATTCGCAGCAGTAACTTGCCGACCGGACCTATCTTACAGCGCGAGCCATCTAGGGACGCATCTAAAGCAGCCGGAACAAGAAGATCTCGAGGAACTAAATCGGGCACTACTCTACTTCGTCTCTACGCCGACGACTGGACTTACCTACAGTAAAGCAATGACATCGTCCGTACAACTACTTGGATACGTCGACGCCGACCACGCAGGAGACTGGGAAAATCGACGCTCAAGGACGGGCTACATCTACCGACTAGAGCCTAACGGGACAATCTCCTGGCAGTCGAGCAAACAGGAACTAATCGCACTATCTTCGGCCGAAGCAGAATATATCACCCTCTGCACTGCGACCAAGGAAGGACTCTACCTGCGAGAGTTGCTCGACGAAGCAAAGATTGCAACCCTGCCCTTCTTCTCACTTTTCTGCGACAACCAATCCGCGATCAAAATTGCGAACAAAGACGGTTTTGCCAACCGAACCAAACACATCGCCCTGCGGTACTTCTTCGTCAAGGATGAAATCGCGAAAAGGAGACTTCAACTCAGTTACTGCCCCACGACAGAAATGGCTGCAGACTACCTGACGAAGAAACTGGCGAAGGCAAAGTTCGATTACTGCATGTTGCTGACCGGGCAGATAAACGTCACCGAATCTGGACACGTCGGCACTCCAGAAATGAAGGGGAGTGTTGGAAATACCTCAAAGACTTGAGCGTTTCTTAAGTGTAACACCACACTCGAGTGAAGCCGTATCGAGTATGCGAGTCAACGGAGGTTACACGATGAGGTTGGGCAAAAGAACACGAAAGGACGAAAGACTCGAAGGGTCGCAACCTCCGGTTGCGACTGACCGTTACAACTGCAAGAGTGGTAACCGAATCGACCATCGAGTCGCTGTGCGACTCGATAACCGTTCCTTCAACTGTATTCTACAACTGCTTTACTTTCCTATTTTCTATATATTGCTGTATGCTTGTTTCCTTTAATCAATCACTTGCTCTCACATACTAGTGCAAGTGTCCAACTACTCAACTTCCGCTGCACTACTCAAGCATCTCTTACAACTGGGACTCTATCTATAGAAAGATCATAAGGGCTTCTTCTCAGCCCAACATCAGTATAAGGGGCCTCGATAATATGTACGGTCAGTGACGCAATATAAACAATCAGAATTAGCGAGTTCGCAACATGTTTCATCAGTCGGGTTCCACGGTTTGTCAGAAACTGTAGGAAAAAGGTTCCACGAATGGTCAGTAGAAGTAACCCCCGCGCGTCTAGGAACGTTTTCCCGCTCGCGCCAGCCCAATTTCGTCATCATTGTGGCAGGTGCGAAATTCTCCCCAAGCTCCAGGCGCAGTTCGAGAGAACTACGAAAACTATTCCCAAAATAAACATTCTTTGAACGTCGCGCACACAAAATTCCAAAATTGAGACCTTGCACATTTCTGTCATATAAGCTAATCGGACCACAGTGGGCCGCACATCGGGTGCAACATTGTTCAAACATTAACAAACGCGCACACAACTAAAAAATATTTGACACACAAGGGCAAATCTATCCGGGATCCGCGCTAAGCTAGAGAGGCATCAATATTCTACTGTGCCGCGCATGCGGTAATTGTTTTCGAGCATGACGTGACTTGTAGAGTCGTGAATTAGAGAGATTTTTTTTGCAGTAAATTCATTTGTGGGAAATTTTATAACCACAGCCGGCAGAAATCTAAAAGATTTGTTGTACTTAAGTGAATACAAGATTTTGTGCGGCTATGAGTGTACTTTGATGCACTTTTAAATATATTCATTTTCCAAAATAAATTTCCATAGTTTTATTTATATGTTTTTCTTTCAAGCGATTCGGGAATGACGATAAGTTTAAGGGTTGACTTTTTTGGGGGGGCGTAAATGCGGTTGAGACAAAACCACCATTCTTAAGCTTCACGGAACGCACTACACTCTACGACGAAAGTACGTGTTTCGAAACAAAATCATATTTTTCTTGTTTCTCGAATAGCTTGTGTCAAATAAAATTAAATTTGGGTATATTACGTTTTTTCGCTTGAATTGCGCCTGGAGCTTGGGAGAAATTTCGCGCCTGCCACAATGATGACGAAATTGGGCTGGCGCGAGCGGGAAAACGTTCCTAGACGGGCGGGGGTTACTTCTACTGAACATTCGTGGAACTTTTTTCCTACAGTTTCTGACTAACCGTGGAACCCGACTGATGAAACATGTTGCGAACTCGCTAATTCTGATTGTTTATATTGCGTCACTGACTGTACTTATTATCGAGGCCCCTAATACTGAGCGCCGATGTACCTTCCCTTCTAGGAATCACTATAACTTTATCGCGTTTGTCTCATGATGCTGATGTGGGAAACGGTCAAGAGTCAAGACTAATTTGTTTGGCCTCCAAAATATCAGGAATATCTCTCAAAATTCAAGTCATGTCACGTGGCCGTAAAGCCATGTCACCCTGATGGAGACTTGACCTTCAACGTGGAACGTTCTTAATGGACGAAGTTCCATTGGTATGGTTCATGTACGAAACCTGGAAAACGGGAAGGGATATCTCTGGAATTGGTCGCACGAAACGCAACGCAATGGAATGCAACGAAACGAGACCTGGAGTCTAGTAAAAAATCTGAATGAGCTCATGTGACCTGTTGTGACACTGTCGCCTCGACAGTCGAGGTCACTCATCACTTGAGGTCTTCCATTCGTACTGCTCAACCATATGGGCAGTGGCATCCAGCTTATGTGTATGGATTCTTGCACTACCAGCGGCAGCTATGGCTGCTAAACATTTTCCACCAATGATGAAAAGTTCACTGTACAGTAATACACCAGAGTTCTGAAAGAGGCCCAGGTTTTTTTTGGCCGGTTACTCCAGTAACGGACGCCTTCAAATCGCTGGCAAATTGGGCCTGAAAGTAGGACCATGGTTACCCGTTTGGCAGGACCCATTGAACATGGAAGACATGCGTTGTTTCTCCCGTGTACCCCGGTAACTGTCGCATAATCGCACCCTGGTTCCGAGTCAACCTACAATTGTTCCTTCTGCATGTTCGCTCCCAGCAGTGTCGCAAGTGGTTGAGCCGCCCAAAATTGGGCCAGTCCATGATGGGCCGTTGCCTGCATATCCGTGGCAGTCGAACTGACGAGTGCATCGGGGCCTCTGACGAATGGGCGGTTCACTGGACGTCATGTGTAGTAGTTGCTGACCAGCTGCTGTGTAGACTGCCCTTGCTGCAATGCAGGCCTCTCGCTAAGCCCCAGGGTATTCCGGAAGGGGACGGAATCGCCTCAGGATCACCCGTTAACAGACGGAATTCCCCCAAAGAAACCCGTTACCGAAAGGAATCGGCCCCGACAAATTCGGCTAGCAAGTGATCAAAGGCAGGGTTGGGCGGGGGGGGGGGGGGGGGGTGGGAGAAGGGGGGGAGGGGGGGGGGTGGGCCTACAGATTTCCCTGCTACAAGTATAGCCCGTACGGATTCGAATGAAAGTCACTCGTTAGGCTAAATCGCGCGAAATTGTTTCCGTTAACTGGACGGATTCGGAAAAAATCACACTTTAAAAAAACGGAAACACTTGGAAAGTTACTCTTAATTTCTCGGCATTGAGGGTGATTACCCTGTTAGCAAGAGGCCTGCTGCAATGCAGCCAAGCCTCCTCTCAACTGTACATTACAGCACCGTACTATGCGGCAATATTGAGACTCCTCGTATTGGACAATATAAGCTGCCGACTCTCGTTGCAGCATCTCGCCAGCTCAGACATCATCTCCTTCAGAACTTCTTCCAGGGCTGGCGCCCAATGGCTGCGCTCCACGGTTTCCTAACTAAGTCCAGGAACAAAGTAAGAGCCAGGTGAAGGCGACCTTTCGAAACTCTAGGTGGCATCCTCTAATCCATGCGGCGAGCGCCAAAAATCTGGCAGTTGTCTCACGACAACGGATTGTACCCGTCCTTCACGTCACGACACTCCTCGCAACATGCCTCGCAGACCATAGCGACGGCTGGCCTTTTGCCCATGGCCGCAGCGCGCAGCGGTCGCTGCTTAGACCCAACTACTGTACCACTCCAACCTCCACGATGCTTGAAAGTAGAATTCTATGTCCGTGCCTGCGCGCCTGTAAATGATCCCAAGTATCCCGATTCCCGTCAGCACAAAGTCATTCCACGCTCGCTCCTTCTGCCGCATTCAGCCCTCCCCAACTCCATCACCACCTCCAAGACCTCCTCTACCACCTTCTGGACTCATCTTCGTCGCGGCTGAACCACGTTCAGTCCGTCTCCACCTCCACTCCGACTCGGAGTCCAAGTCACTCGACTCAACCAGCCTCTGGCGACTCCCATCCATCACCCAGTCTTCCCGCCATAAACTCCCCGGATCCGGCCGACATTAACCGCCATACTTCGAAACACTCTCTCCATTCGTCGTGAAGCTCCGAGTCGTCGCGTTTACCCATCGCCTCCTTCCTTCTCCGAGGAGTCGTACTCGGAATTCCCGCTCCATTTCTCATCATACGCGCTATGGACGACTCGATTCTCGTGATGCTTCCTGACGGAGCCGTGCGCCTGTATTCCGCCACGGGGCCCGGCGACCAGCCGGTCCTAGCAGACGCGGTTCTCACCGACTACCCGGGCTGCACGCTCGGCGTGTTAGAGGAATGCCAGACGTCCCTGCCCGCCGACACGCCCTTGCACCCAGGCCACACGTACTACATCACCCCGGGCGCGGCGCCGGACGTGCCAGTGCCCGTGGCGCCCCCCCGCGTTCAGCGCAGCGTGACCTCCCGCGACTGCCCCCGGCAACACCCAGCAGCTTATATCGCGGATGTTGGCGTTTCTGAGGCTGGTGCGCTGAGCCTCTCCGATGTCTCAGGCTCCCTTTCTAGCTCTCGCGTTTACACTGCAGAAGCAGCAGTAGCAGCAATGATGGCCGGCGATAGAGCCGAGAGAGCCGCCGGAAACAGACCGGCATCGTTCGATTTGCCGCCATTGTTCTGGGGCTTCGACTCTCCCCTCGCGTCGCCGTCCATCCCCGGATCCCCCATTCACCATCAGCGCCGGCTACACCCGCGTCGCTCGCTCGAGCTCACGCGCGGCTCGCAAAGCTGTTCGCACAGCCCCGTTGTGGACGGCCTATCGTCGGGATACCCTCTCTCAATGAGAAGCGCTGTTCCGAAGAGTACCCGCCGCTCGTCCCTCTCGCGTCATCTACGGCGCGACATCCCCTGCGCGCGCTCCGCCCCCCCTGCGACGACCCTGACCGACGCCGCCGCTGCCATCGCACTGTCGGAGTGCTCAAGGATGTTTGCTAGTGCTGCGCTTGCTCCTGGTAGTCCGAGTGTGAACGATGCTGATGCTGCCGCGGCGTCGCCCAGCAGGCGGAGGCTGCGGAGGACGACGAGCAGGCGCGCCGTTGCTGACGCGTCCGCGGCTGTTGCGGCGTTCGGGAGCCCATCGTGGGGGTCAGGCCAGTGCAGCGCGCTAAAGGAATTCAGAGCGGAGATAGGTGAAGTGAGCGGTGAGACGGGGTATCAGACAGTGAACAGGGTGTAGGGTTTGAGTTGTGTTCGCAAGTTGTGAGTTTCGCCCCCGAGAGACCTGCCAAATGGTGGACAAAATGCACATCACATGAACTGTCCCGTCAAGGTTAAAAACCATGTGTAGACCATGAAAACAGTGCCAAAAGCACTTGACGAAACCAATCTCGGCAAAGCTCCTCTGGCGAAAAATTACTTAGCTCGCGACACAAAAGGAGTCCAACAACTTGTAATCAATAGTGCGTAAGCAGTGAATGTCAACTTATACATACATTGTTGTGTAGAAGTTTTACGCTAGATAGGGTATGTTCATAGTGGGTACAACCCAAACGCTAAATCTCCCCTGCCCTCCCTTCTTCTAGTCATTCTTTCAAGACTTGACATGGTATCAGAGCGGTAGCGAAGTCAAGGCGGCGAGTAGAGGCGAATTCAGTGAGATCAGCAACTAGAGCGTCAAGACTGGAGACAGGAACAGACGGGTCGGTAACGAGGGAGTCAAGGACCCGAGGAACAAGAGGACGAGCAGCACAAAGGTGTTCAGAGGGGGAGGTGCGACAGTGAGCGCCGACGGTGGAGGCGAAGGCAAACGGGGAGGACGAGTCGCGTGGGAACGAAACAACATAGGGTGAGAACGCAGAACATGAGAGACAGGACGAGCACGAGAGGGACGGCGAGACCAGACGTGAGATTGAGGTGTTGGGTCAGGAGACAGGGGAGGAGTAACAGGAGGGGAACGAGAGGGGAAACGAGCCGGGGACGAATCCGGCGGAGGAAACACAGGAACGTGAACAGGTTGAGGGGGAGACGGCGAGGGAGGCGCAGGCGAGCGGTCAGGGGAGGGAAGGCCGAGCAGGCGAAGGGCGGACACCGGCGGCGACTGCTGCTGCCGCTGCTCAACGCCGACACCTGGACCACCAACTGCACCACTGCTACCTCCGGTACACTCCAAGAACGAGAAACGTCTCCAGCGCCGGTGCCACCTCCGAGCCCGCCGGGACAACCCACGACAAGAGCCCTAGGATTAGCACCCTCTCCAACTCTAGCACCCCCAAAGTCCACGAACGGCTGCGGCTGCGACGACGGCTGCGGCTGCGGCGGCTACAGCGACGAGGGAGGAAGAGACACCGGGGGAGGGACTGGCGGCGCAAACTGCGCCGCGGGGCCACCGGAGTCAGCCGACTCCTCGACAGGGACAAACGATGGAGGGGAGTGATGTTAGACACACCGGACGGAGTAGGACGGGGAGGGAGGGGAGCAGGGACGACCAGGGGAATGAGAATCAGAAACAGGGGGAGGGAAACCAGGAGACCTCGGTAAGGAAAGCGGTGGAAAAAGGAGACAAACTCGTCGAAAGTGACGTTACGGAAGTGAAGGAAGCGGTGAGACGACGGGTGGTAGAAGTGCCAGTCAGACGAGTCAAGGGGGAAACCGAGGAAAACACATGGGACGGTGGGGGCAGTGAGCTTGTCCGTGCCGGAGGCACGAACGTGAGCGAGACAGCCCTAGACGTGGAACGCAGACACGTCACCAGGGAGCCCGGTCCAAATAAGGGTCGGCGAAACCTGCGGCCGCTGAGAGCGAGGCCAGAGGTTAAGCTGGAGAGCGGCGTAGCGAACGGCGAGCAACCACAGAAAATGGGGTGCACCGGCATGGATCATGGAGGTACGAGGCATCTCCATGACCAAACCGATGCGTCGCTCAGCGACCCCATTCTGCTGCGGGGAGTCCGGTAGGGTGTACGACTGGGTGATACCCTCCGCATGACAGAACTGGCCCAGCCGACCAGAGGTGAACTCGCCGCCACGGTCGGAGTGGAGACACAGCACATGGAGACCGCGATGGAGGCGCGCAGCGATGAGCCACGGGATAAGAACATCAGGCACGTCGGCCTTCGGCTCCAGGGGAAACACCGTAATGTAGCGCGTGAAGTCGTCAACGAGCACCAGAAAGTAGCGCTCACGACGCGGTCCAGGGACAGGGGCTGGGCCCCAGACGTCCAAGTGCAGGGTCTGAAGGGGTGCATTGGCAGGGCGAAGTGAGGAGGAGTGAGGAGCACAGCGCAGCCGGCCCTCGACGTAGGGCGTGCACGGCGTCGCAAGCGAGGGAGGGAGAGCGGGGAGAGATGCAGGGAGTGAGCGCGGGGCAACGCCAAGGACTAGACCATGCTGAGACATGTGACGCAGACGGGGGAGCGCATGGTGACCTAGGCGGTGGTTCCACAACAGTGACGGGTGAGTGAGTGACCGACACGAGCATGCCGCAGCTACCTGGGTGGACGCAGAACCGGAGGAGGATTCGCCCGCCGCGGGGGGAGCAGTGTCCAGCGTAAACAGGCCAGACACCGGGTCCCGGGGGAACGTCGCAAGGGGGGCACCTGAGGCGGCCTCGGAACAGACCGCGTACCGCTCGTGACCAAGGAACGTAGTGGTGACGCCGAGGTCCTGAAGACAGCCGACACCAACCAAGTTCCTAGGGAACGAAGGGATGTGCAGGCCTGTAAGGGAACCAGAGGGAACCGCCGGATAGGGAAGGGTAGTGTAGCTGCGAGCATTTACAGAACCAGAGGAGGGTCCGCAAGGGCGACAGCGGTAGGAGCAGCAAGCGGCGTGAGGGCAGCGTGGTCGCGGAAGAAGCAGGCTGACGTACCGGAGTCTAGAGTGAAGGACAGCGACGCCGTAGTGGCCGACGACGGAGGAGCAAGGGTAGAGACTAGGCTAGACAAAGCAAGCTGTCCTACACTTGACGCAGCTGGGGAGTCTGGACTACACACAGGTGCTACGCCTAAGCTAGAGAACACAGAGTAATACGATCCGGAAGCACTCGAAGCGTCAGCATACAGAGAATGAAAAGCAAAACTAATATGATCCATGTCTAAGTAAAACACAGGCACACCGTAGCGCAGCAGGCTGGGCTTATCAGGGAGGTCCGGGGCGGGACCAAAGCGACGACGGAAGAGGTCGTCGAGGCGGCGGAAGCAGCGGGCGGTGGGGTGCGAGCGGCGGCACACCGTGCCACGCAGGGGCCCGGTCTGAAGCTGGTACTGGCAGCTCACAGCACCAAAGCTGGTGGTGGATGCCGAGCTGCGAGGGCCACCACCATGACCACCACCTCCATTGGCTCCTGGCCACCCAGGTGAGAGACGAGCCCACGGCTGCTGCTGCTGTTACGGCGGCTGCGACTTCGGCGACTGCTGCTGCTCCTGCGCACGAGCATCAACCCCCTCGCCAGAACCACTGTCCCCGCCACCACCACCACTAGCGCCACCTCCACGTCCTCCCTTGGGGCCACAGCGGCCCCGGCGCTGGCGCTGCTGCAGGGTAGCCGCAACTGCTGTCTCAGGTGCAGACGCAGTCATGATAACTGCAGCGGAGACATTAGCGTACGCGCACTGCGAGAGAGCACAGCCTAAAAGATTGGGAATGCCGCAACACCGCTCGACTGAGCGATAGTGCGCTGGCGAGTCTCTATCTCAGACAACGTAGTGACAAAGGCGGTCGGGGTGAGGTCGGCAGGGTACTCACTAAGGAAGTGGTCGCGAGAAGTGGCTAAGCGGTCAGGCAGGCGCATGGCGATGAGGTACAGGGTAGCGCAGAAAGGTGGGGGGAAGGCAGTAAGCTGGGCGGCAGAGCTAGCAGCACGGTAGCTGGTCTCTAGTGCACGGAGGTGAGTAGCGAGGTCAGCTACCGTGGGGAAAGCAAAAAGATCAGGGAAGAGCATGGGTAGGATCAAGCGGCCAACAGAGGCGGAAGCAGGTGTGGAGTAACGCTCAACTACTACAGCGAGAAAGTCCTTGGCGTTCGCGACAGCGGTAAAGCGCGGACGCTCAGAAAGGGGGAGGGCATGGCTAATGGAAAGCTAGCAGCAGCAATAGCCTCGCTCTCAGGCGCAGGGGGGCGGGGAAGCAAACCATCAACATGCATAGCCAGGGAGTGCCCATCCTGGCGCTGACCTGTCAGGTGCCAGCGGAGGTCGACGAGCCAGGCGGCGCAGTTGATCGCGTGCCCCTCAGTGTCCAAGCGAAGAACGGCATCCGCCATCACACAGTGTGACAGCGGCACAGCGGCTCAGCGGCGCAGCGACTTGGCGGCTCAACGGCTGGGTGGAGCGGCGGCTCGGGGACACTGCGGCACGGAGGCTCGTCGGCATGGCGGCGCGGCGGCACGGCGGCTCGGCGGCATGGTGGCGCGGGTGCTTGGCGGCTCCGGGACACGGCGGCTCGGCTGCTGAGGCGACCAGACCGGCTAGGGCGCAAGAGGCCGGCTAGGGTGAGCGGGGCCGGCAAGGGCGCGTGGGGCCGGCGAGGGACGCAGGGGGGGGCGGTAGGAGCACGAGGGGCCGTAGGGGCACGAGGGGCCGGCTAGGGGCGCGAGGGGCCGGTAGGGGCGCGACGGGGCCGGCTGGGGGTGCGAGGGGCCGGTAGAGGCGCAACGGGGCCAGCAAGGGGCGTGAGGGGCCGTAGTGGCGCGCGGGCCCGGCTAGAGGCGCAAGGGGCCGGTAGGGGCGCGACGGGGCCGGATAGGGGTGCGACGGGGCTGTAGGAGCGCGACGGGGCCGGAAGGGGCGCGACGGGTCCGGCTAGGGGCGCGACGGGTCCGGCTAGGGGCGCAACGGGGCCGTAGGGGCGCGACAGGGCTGTAGGGGCGCGACGGGGCTAGCTAGGGGCGCGACAGGGCCGGCTAGGGGCGCGAGGGGCCGTAGGGGCGCGACGGGGCCGTAGGGGCGCGACGGGGCTGTAGGGGCGCTACGGGGCCTTAGAGTTGTGACGGGGCCTGCTAGGGGCTTGACGGGGCCGTAGCGGCGTGACGGGGTCGTAAGGGCGCGACGAGGTCTGCTAGGGCCGCGATGGGGCCGTAGGGGCGCGCGGGGCCAGCTAGGGGCGCGAGGGTCCGGTAGGTGGCGGCACGGGGCGGAAGCGGGTGGGTGGACCTACCTACATATCTCCCATGTTCTCCCTTCTTCTATTCATTTTTTCTAGTCTTAACAGTGACGACTTTGGGTGTGGGGGGGCAAATTGTACAAAGCTTTTCCCACGCAGCGAGTCTCGGCAAAAAAATGTGTCTAGGATGGTACCGGGCATGTTCTAATTCTGTATGAGGGAAC